TGCGTCAAATATGTACATTTTACAATTGTCAACTAACTCATTATTTTCTCCATGAAAACGATAAACCACCAACATGTACGGTATGCCAAAATCCTTATACAATCAAGCACATACTTATAGACTGTACTGACTTTAACCATATCTGGGATTAAAAAGTTCATAAAAAAAGTAAGACATGAACGAGCTTTGCAGACAAACCAACCTGAACAACATCCGTAACTTTATAAAACAGGTGAGGATTTATACAAAGATGTGATATCTCAATAAATTTTGTTCCAGAACCCCTTTAACCAAAAACTACAAACTTTTTTTTTTTACAAATCTTAAGTATACTAAAATGATCTACAGTCGTTGATGTACCGTTAAACAAGAATACACCAAAGTAAACATTTTTCAATTGTTGTCTTGCTATTGCATCTCCATAGTGAAGATTGTCCGTGCGTGATGAAGAGCTACACTTTTCTCGATGTATCACCGTTAATTTTGCATGGACAATAGACTAACTACGGTGGAGCTAGAGGAGTCTAAGCTCTATAAAAAAAAAAAGTCCTTCATATACTTTGTAGGTATGCAGTAGTTTATATAACATGCATCAACAGACAAATAGTATGATGATCACCGTGACTGTACAAATGATCATTTGTTTTCACAATGGACACATGCTCTAACAAGCTGATAATCACATGATTTCATCAGGAGTTGCTGCTCTTGATCTTATTAGCACCAGAAAGACAAACGTGGTCAACGAGGAGAAGAGAGATCAGATAATGTGAGAATCCAACATTAAATTCTATCTTGTCATACTTGCCCTGTTCGCGTGTAATTTACACCTCACCAATGGAATACGAAGGGAATGAGGGTGGCTCGTAACAATGTATGGCAGGGTTAGAGTTGCGAAAGTTAGGGACTGGTGGAGGTAAGAAATGTAGTTCGTCTGAATACTTTTCACGGAAATAGCGATAGAAAAACGAGAGGCTTTCAACGTTCCATCCGTGGAAAAGAGGTTGTCGAGTGGGAAATAATTCATCGTAGACGCCTCGGGACTAGAAAGTGAAGACTGGGCAGCTCTTGTCCATATCATGGCAGCAGTACTCCATTTTCCGTCTGATCTGGCTCTTGTAAAGTTAGAGGATAGCGGGAGAAGTTGGGTACTTACTGGACCGATATAGAAAACCTAACATTTTCCAGCATCTTTAGCGATTGATCATGTAGTGGGTGAGCCAATCTGTATCGGTGACATATACAAATTAAACTGACCCTCTACTATTTTTATTAAATCAAATGCAACAAAGACAACAACAACAACATGAGAAATAATCAAATTGGCAGATATGTTTTAACAGAAAATATTTTTATATAACAAGTACACACGATATAATAAAGTTGTTTACAACACTTTATAGTTCTTGGTTGTGTGATAAAGGGTAATATAAAAGGTGTTATGCTATAGATCTGGTAAGGAATTAAACAGTTTATGTTGATTGTGAAATTGAGTGAAATAGATTGTTTGACTTACTGTAGTTGTCTTGCTTCGATTGATATAGTTATGATTTCCTTTATGTTGTTAAGATATGAAGTGAATTAGTTTCTGAATCTCATCTTGGTTGAATTGGTCACTAGATGTGTTGATGTTGAGAAGAAATTGAATTCTACAAGCCGGGTTGATGTTACTAAAAATTAACTTTTAGCGAGTAAGTTGGGTTTCATGGATTCGTGTGAAGATGCATATTTATGAATTTTCTTGATCACGTGGGAGACTCGACAAAATGTTTACCAATTTTTGGCGCTTTGAACTCTGAACAGGTCAGCTCAAGGTCAACCGTACGGACGTAGGCAGAAACATGACATTATTATTTATGGACCAATCAGAAAGCACTGTTTCGTACTGCACTCTGGAGCCGATTTTAATGGTTCAGCACAAACTGAGAATACTTAGCTGTGTTCCTCTTTTAACAGCTTTAAAACAGAATGTAGAAATCTAATTCTACAATCGTATGTACGAATTCCACTTGTGGTCTGGAGTGAGCTTAAGTACCAATAGGTGTTCAAGGCACGGGCCTCTCTGTGAGAACAGCCGTTCATCGCGGTAGACGAAAATTCAGGGTCTTCTCGGCGATAATGGATTCAGTTCATTTTATATTGATGTTTTTTATGTTCTCTTCATCAGAGACACTTCTTCCTGGTGTTTCCCTCTCTCAGCGGGCCTGTATAAATATAAAAAATGAATTCTTTCATGTTAACAAAACCAAATTCCATTCTTTGTCACATTTTAATTAAAACCCTGTAAACTGCATATGGGAGTCCTGCAACGATGCCCCGTAGCTTTTTTTTTTTTTTAAATTTTGTTTTAGTAGTACGTGGTCTGTAATAGTCGGTTCTGTTTACACGCGGTTGATACATAGCGATTTTCCAAGCGTAGCTTAGATGTGGCACAGGGCCGAAAGTATGAGGCACCCAGTGAGGATCGAACTCACTACTCGTAATTGTTCTAGCGAGTCAAGCTTGCTAACCATTATACCGCCTCGGGGTGCCCCATGCGGTTGATACATATGCTGGTTTCTTTTTTGGTGGGGGTTGACGGCTGCTGCACTACCTGAAGGGAGAGGTTGGCAATAACGAACACGTGTATGTGAAATAGAATAAAGATTTTATTCACCTCTCGAGAACGGGATACGAAACATTAGACAATTTCATAAACATGTGTACCGCTTAGCGCAAAGTTAATAACTATCGCATTTTGTAAAATCTGGACATTTGGAACAATAAATGTCGGCTGCTGACCGAAAAAAAAAAAATCAGTTTTTCAGGTACTTTAAGTTAAAATTCGTTTACAGTTTTTGAGTTATTTACAGATTGTAATTTGGAGAAGGAATAAAAAAAAAAGGGAAAAATTTTTTTTTATTCTGTATTCACTATATTCGTTTTATTTACTTTTCAATAATTTTGACAATTGCAATAAAATAAAGTATACATTATAAAGATAAAAAACAGGTGGTACAAGTATACTTTTGTTTTCACCATTTCTATTTTTATATGACTCTTTTTCTATTTTTTTTTTCTAACTTTTCAAGTTCAGCAGCTCAAAATTGCATTTTGTCAATGTTTGTTTTTATTTTAACAATCTTACATTTAAAATATAAAAATTGATAAAAATAAATTTCCTCATAACCATGATCGTGGTGATGCTAACGATAACAATTGTATTAATAATAATAATAATAATAATAATGCTAATAGCATGCTGCTATATCTGCAATGACAGTATCGTATTTGATAATTTATGATTTTGTTCCATTCAGTAATAAAATCGGACAGAAGGAAATCTGCTTCATTTTTGGGTACTTTTCATTCACTCTCGCCACCAAGAATATTTTTTCTCGTTTAGTGATTAAACTTTAAGTTTAATTGCTTCCGAATTTCTGAGTCCTCTATTCTTTTTTTATCTGAGATGCCTAGGGTCAAACCAAGTGCCACGTCTTTCCGCAATTAAACCTTTCATTTTTTTTCTTTTGAATGAATTAGTTTTTAGCATTGTCTTTTCAAAGTTACATGGTTATACATTCTCTCTGTTTCTCACACTATCACACACGAATTCGGCAAATGAATGAGAACGTGTTAAGAAAAAAAGAAAAAAGTTAACGCGTTTCACCATCTAGAAGGACATCATCGGACCAAACGCGTAACAATTTTTTTCCCCACTTTGTTATTAATTTTCCTAATATTATTATTATATATATAAAACCGATATTATTTTTTTAACTTCTACACTTTAGTTTATAAAATTAAATTATTTTTTTTCTTGCATCTTTTTCAACAATTGCACCCTCACATGACAAATCCATACCCTGTCCATTGTAAAATTTAGCAAGTAGACATCTCTATTGCTAATTTTCATAATTCAGAGCATGTAATTTAGAAATTCCGAAAAGTCCCTTTCGTGCCGGTGGGGCGGGGGGATTAACGGCAAAAGTACTTTTTTTTTTTTTATTGTTTACCTCATAATTAAAGAAAAGTGCAACTAATTAGAACAAGAAATTTATTTAACATTTATTGTAAAAAAAAAAAAGAAGATATGTGCGCAACTATTTCGCTGATTTAATTTTATAGCTAATCTTTAAAAAAAAAGTAAACACTTTTACTCTCTTTCTCTTAAAACTCAGCGAGCTTCGAACATACGACTAATTCGAATTTGTTGCTCAAGTTAGGCGTTTTATTTCATAGGTATAAATTTTAATTAAATCTGTATTTGTGTAGAAAAACTTCAAAATAGAAACAATAGAAAGTTCTTTTACATTCTCGATAACTGTCGATATTTCTTGAAAATTCTCGGAAGACGTGCATTGTAGTGTCACTTGACTTGACAAACCAGTTTTAACAACTATGTCACTTGAAAATAAAGTGAAGAAGTGCATCGAATCTATTAGTTTCTGTTTTATATAGACTTAAAACAATTGCTAGTTAGTGTGTGTATAGCAAAAATAAAATATTGTTTCAATGTCTTGTAATATGAAACAAGCAAAGAATCAAATATTTTTACACTTATTCTTTTAAAGTGCTAGTCTAGCTTTTTTATTTTTATTATTATTATTATTGTGTGCGTAGCCGTAATTTGTTGCTTAGCCGATTTCTTATTGGCGAACGAAAGTTACCCATTCAGTAGTCTCTGATGACGTGTAGGGTGCTGATTGGCTGTCAGCGTTTTTCTGGAATGTTCGAGAAGTCTGGCGGCGGTAGCACATCTATATAAGAAGTGACCAGCGTCTGCTTCTGCTTACTCCGCCATTTTGTTGGGTTGTTCGCTCAGCTGCGCGCGGGTTTATTAAGAAATTTTTTAATAACTTGTCAGCAAATTCAGTGAAAAAAGAAAAAAAAAAAGTAAAGAACGGTAATTGTCACAAGTGAAAATATTTGTATCCTAAAGGATGGGGAAGGATTACTATAAAATCCTAGGCTTATCAAAAAGTGCCACCGATGATGACATTAGAAAGGCTTATCGCAAGATGGCCCTCAAATACCACCCGGATAAAAACAAATCGCCTGGAGCGGAAGAGAAATTCAAAGAGATAGCCGAGGCATACGAAGTGCTATCTGATAAAGAAAAACGGAAGGTGTACGACGATTACGGCGAAGACGGTCTCCGGGGAGGAATGCCTTCAGGTCCCGGAGACCACGGTGGTGGCTTCTCTTATACTTTCCATGGAGATCCGCACGAGACATTTCGAATGTTTTTTGGCGATGAAAACCCGTTCCAAACGTTCTTCTCCTTCGGCGGAGGTCCTGGTGGAGGTAGACCACATCATTTTGGGGGCTTTGGTCCCGATGTGGATATGGACATGGATGAACCATTTTCCAGACAGTTCGGCCGTCATGGCTTCAGTACTGGTGGGTCTCCGTTTGGTCGGCGAAAAGAGCAGGACAAACCGATCGTACGGGACTTACCTGTGAGTTTAGAGGATATTTGTACTGGATGCACAAAAAAGATGAAAATAACGCGCAATATATCTCAGCCTAACGGGCAGACAATCAAGGAGGAGAAGATTTTAACCATTGATATTAAGCCTGGTTGGAAGGCTGGCACGAAAATCACGTTCCCTAAGGAGGGAGACCAGACCCCATATAACGTCCCTGCAGACGTTGTGTTCGTAATTCGGGATAAGAGACACCCCCAATTCACTAGAGATGGTAATGATATCCGATACAAAGCTAGAATAAGTCTAAAAGACGTAAGTAAATTTCTCTTTTCGTTGGTTTGACTTTGCAGTTATGTGCGCTTTTTTTTTTTTTCATAGAAGTAACTGAACTGAAAAAGAATCCAACTTGTCAATTATTGGCGAGCCACTTTCAGTATATATATATATATATATATATATACATATACACACACACACTTGTACGAACTTATATTTTTATAAAAAAATCACAACGCTAACAAATGGTATCTCCGCAGTATTCAAATTAATTCAGTCGTTAGTTGTCTTACTGTTTTTTGCATTTTTCTATTTAAAATAACGCTATTAGTATTAATCCGAATCGCAATTTGTATAAAACTGCTGTTTTAGCAGGTTAAGTCGATCTACGACTTAATTTACCAACAGTAAGCTTTAAGTTAAAGCTTCTAGTAGCTTCGTTTTTTTTAAATGTTAAATTACTGTACTTAAAAAATCGGATTGTTCAAATTCAAATATCTTTTATGAACTTTCCTGTATACTTTCATTATTTAGCGCTATATTTAATCTCTTCCACTGTTATGAAATCTTTAATAACAATGCATTCTTTTATTTCGAATTTTACCAGTTGTGATTCTGAACGTTTAAAAATAAAAATAATTTTTGTTCTATCATATTCGTAATATAACCTCTAGTCTACAATAAAGGGTGGTAGTTGTAGTTCGTAAGAACCTATTGTTGGCTTTGAATATAATTAATTTCTCCCAAAATTAAATTTGAAGCAAATGTTTTTGATAAGTGTATTTTAATATTTCCACCTTTTTGCGCAGAGAATTTGAACTGTGCAAGCTGAAAAAAAAAAAAAAAAACTTCATTTTTGTTTAGTTTTTTTTTTTTTAGTATTCCACTTTAAATCCAATGGCTGATTATAGTAAGCATCAACATATATTAACGACTTGAGGGCGAATAAAGAAGATGAAGTAAACAGTTGGGTTTGATTGGAATTTAGTTGTTTAATCAATAAGTTGAGGCTCTGCTGGATTCTAAATTTGGGAATATGTTTAAATCTCTGAGAAACTATATTTTAACTTTGGGAAAGTAATTTTTAAAATTATTTTCCTTTACAATGAAAATGTTTTTGTATTGTGATCTTCTAAAGTGATCTCCCTTGGCGGCATCATGAGATGTTAAGAATGTTGGGATAAAAATATTTTACTAACTATTCTTAGTAACCAGAAATCTTTCACATGTAAATTATTTCTAGTGTTACTATTTAAATCACATAGCGATATTGAAGGGAATAAATGGTATGTTTTCTCTCCACTTACCGTGATCAAATCTCGCATAGCCTTCCGGAGTCACCAGATGTTGGTTTAAATTAAATAAAGCTCTCTAATTGTCATCGACAGTCGACCACTTTTGAGTACAGTCAACTTTAAACTCGTAATTTAAATAATAGCTGTAACTGTTTGTATAATGTAGTAGTAGCAGCAGTAAAAAGTTTCCATTTGGTACATCTAACATTCTTGGCATTTTTTTTTTTATTACGCTCTCAGTTCTACTGACCTGTTTAGTCTTTTCGATTCTGATTTGCATAAATAGTTTTGATATGGATAAAGTTTTTCAGATTTCATTAAGAAAAAAAAAAAGTCGAATCATTAAGAAAAATATTAAAGCATTTGTGTAATTAAAAAAAGCAAGGTTTAGAATAAAGTGAAATGCGTATTCTGTAATTCAATTTATGGAAACTGCAATATGTCTTCTGTTCATTTCGACTGAAAATATTCAGTGTAGAAATTTTATTTAGAGTGAAGAAATGAAGTTCATTTGAATTTTCAAATTTTGTGCATAGCAACTTTTGGAAAGTATAAAAATTCTTTAGTTGAATTTATCAATATTTTGACTCCATGGCGTTTTTTTTTTTTTTTAATCGTTTGGTTATGTAATTGTTCTTTGTACAAAATGTAAAATGCTCGCATATTTTTAAAGACATTACGGTGCCATTATACTTTTATACCCCGAAGTTACGTACTTCCATAATCATCCAGAGCAACTGGGCAGGAATCATGAAAATCGACTAATTTTTTTTTTTTTTTTTAGGAGGGGTGGGTGGGTGTGATTATTTTGCAAAGTGGGATCAAATACTTTTGGTATCAAAATCGCCACGTATGTACTGCTTATGATGTGTTCTTGACTTTTTGTTTATCTTTTTAATACAAACTATTGATTTGAAAGAAATTTCCATACGTTCAAGTTTAATGTACAGGAAGTATATGGTGTTTAGAAGTTGGTGAGAGTAGCAGCGGCATTTTATCAAATTTATAGCTTTATATTTTTACAGATTTTAAACAGTTAAAATTACTTCTAATTTGTTTGAAAAATAGGATAATTAAGACTTAATGATGAGGTTGGAACCAAACTTAGTTTTGACTTTATAAATGAGCTAGTTAAAAATATACTAAACTGGTAGCTTAAGTGTAATCAATTGACTTAAAGCTAAAATAAAAATCGATGCATTTTAAATGGGTTGCCTTTTAGAGTAAAATCACTTGTCTTCATGAAAAAAAAAAAAAAATTCATCATTGTTTAACTTTATAAGTAATGATTAATTTTTTTCCTTATTGCAGGCTCTTTGTGGAACAACTATTTATGTACCAACCATTGGAAACAGAACCATCCCATTGCGACTTTCAGAAGTAATAAAACCAAACACAGTAAGACACATCAAAGGAGAAGGTGTACCACTAGCCAAACAGCCATCAAAAAGAGGAGACCTTATTATTGAATTTGAGATTTTATTTCCTGATGGTCTCTCTCAGCGATCAAAACAAATTCTTGCTGAAAACTTACCATCTTGAGTTTTATATTTATGAAGGGTAGGGGGGTATGAACATTTGTAAAAAAAAAAAAAAAAAAAAACAAAAAACAAAAAAAAATGGCAAAAGGAAATGGAGAAATTTAGCAGTGGATATGGACTTGTGGATATCTGATTTTTGAATTGGCAGCAGTCTCTGAATCTTGAGCACTCTGCTGAGGACTTGTTGCATCAATTTGAGCCATGCAGTTCTGGATTCTGTAGTCTGCTGAGGACTTGTTGCATCAATTTGAGCCATGCAGTTCTGGATTCTGTAGACATGTTGGAAAACCTCATCTTAGTCCTTTAAACTTGTATCCATGGAATGCAGCCACAGGAACAAGCCTGTCTAATTGTTAATAGCCTTCGTGCAAGGCATCTTAGTTGATGCTATGCATCCTTTTTTTAAAATCAAATTTGTAAATAAATATTTTGATTGATTTTTTTTTTTTTTCTTTTATGTTTCTGGTTTGTTTTCAAACTAATATTGATTTTCATTCCCTCATAAACAGACATGTATGTCAATTGTGATTGTAATTCTTACCAATCAGCTTAAAAAGTGGAAGTCAGGATACATGGCAACACTTATCACAATACCTAAAAGTAATTGCATAAATTTAAGTTCAGGAATGTAATTTTAGCTTAGGAAGGTTTTTTTTTTTTTAATTTCTCTTTTTACACTGACCTATATATCAATATTTGTTTATCCAGACTTGGATAAGTTTTTTCTTTTTTGCCAACTCAGCATTAATAACTCTTGGTAAAAGTTGAAGATGCATTTATAATAAAAAGAAACTTAGCCAAACCATCCAAAATGTAGGATTGCTTTGAAACTTCTCACAATTCTAAGCTGTAATAGTTGGTTACAAAAAGAGTGAATATTCCATTTAGGACCATGCCAGTGGTTTGTAACCTTTAAACTGGTGTCAGTTGCATGAACTTTCAAACTAGTCCAGTATCTTTCAGCAGTGTTTTTTTTTTTTGTTTATATATTTATACACAAGGCAAAACTAATGTAGTGGTGTAAATTTTAGAGATCAAAAACAGGCTTGACCATATTTTATACTATTGATTTAATAACTTGTAAACTGTCTCTTTTAGTGAATTAGGTCTTTGGTAAAGTTATGGTAAAAGAAAATCGGCTTTATTTGCTTAAGTTTTCAGTTGTATTGAATTTTAATCAATTTATCTTGAAAGAAACAGCCTCAAATGCTATCTTGATATTGAGTAAAATAGTTGTCAACCCACTTAGTTTGAACCTATCAGGTGCTTTTTTTTTTTTTTAGTTTTTTAACAGAAATATATACCCCAGTTAATTTCTTTAAAACAGTAGAAGTTTAATTTCTTCTTCCCAAATGTAAATTCTCATAAATAACAAACACATATTTGCAGATTTAGAGAAATAACTTTTTTGTCTCATTTATTAAAAAAAAAAAAAAATTTACATTACTAAATTTAGAAAACATTAACATATGCCATCCCACCCCTGCCAAACCTCATTGAGGATCTTTATTCCATTATCCTTACCCCTGTAATTCAATTGTCCAATATTGATAAATGCATTTATTGGTTAATAACTAAAAACATGAATAAGCTGTTCAAAGAGGAGGAGAGGTGAGGAAGTAGCATACAACAATCTTGCAGTTATTCTTGATCCGGATATCAAATTAGAAGAAAAGATTTGAAGGTTTAAAAAGAAAAAGTCCCTGTATAAACAGCAGCAGACCATAGTAAGTCTCAAAATATGAGGTCTACTTGGCAGATATGGGTATACTAAATTTTTTGTCTAATGCCTTAACTAAAAAAAAAAAATTAAGTTCCAAGCTCAGACCCCCCCCACCACCACCACAATATCCTCTTAAATGATCAACTTATTCACTTTTACTGAAGTCTCAACCTCTGCCCAAAGTCATAGCCAGGAGAGCCATTCTGACAAACATTCCATTTTCAGCTTGGCGGAAGTAAGCAGCTCTTGGGTCAGTGTCCAATGCAGTGCTAAAAAGAAAGAAAATTTATTTAAAAATCCAGAAAATCTCAAAAGGAAACTTATCTCTTAAAATAAAAATAAAATATCAACTGGGCAGAACATTTTGCACTTCCTTCCTTTCAAGTTAAAACTCACCTGATTTCATTGACCCTGGGTAATGGATGCATGACAACCATTTTCTTTTTTGCCTTTGTCATTAATTCTGGGGTTACAATTATTTGACCACAAGCCTGAAAGAAAAGAAAAAATTTTATTCACTGTCCCTCTGAGAAAAGCCTGGAGACAAAATACTTGTCAATATTGTATACTAATTTAATCACAATCCATAATTTTTAAACACAGAATGGTTGACTTAAATTTAGAGAAACTGACAAAAAAAAAAAAATTTAAACTCATCGGAAGAACTGATCTGTTTCTCACCAACATGAGTTACTTCAAATTATAAACTGTACATATTAAAATTGTTCAATATGTTATTGCCAGAGAGCTTGGCATTCTTTTCCTAATAGTCGAGGCCTCGTACTCGCAACCAAAACTGGAGGCCAATCTCAACACTTGTCATTCAACTGAGAACAGATTTTGAGTTTATGCTAGTTTGCTGTTGTAGTTGGCTTAAGAAATTTTTTGCTTTTTAACATTTTTGGTTTATTTAATTGTTTTTATTTCCTTTACGCTTGCTCTATTTTATGCTTTCATTGTTACTTATTTAATATTTTTTATGACATCTTTATTCATAAAAGCAAATACACTAATGATCAACTTTGTTTTGGCCTAATCTATTTTTGTAACAAATGAAGTATGAATTTTTTTTTTAAAACCACACCACTTATACCAAAGTGTAACATTTTAATTTTACTTTATAAATTAGAATTAATAAATTAATTCTTTAATTTTTTTTTTTTTTTGTAATAAAAGAAAAAAAAGGTATTATTTCTTACAATCTTTTTTTTTCTCTAATATTGTTAATTGATGATTAATTTGTTTTTCTTTCTAAAAGGTATATTTAAATACCTTTTAGAAAGAAAAACAAATTCTGAATTGTTAAGAAAAACAAAGTCTGAATTGTTAAAAAAAATTAGGAGTAAACGTGATACTTTTATACTGCAAAAATTAATGAAAAAAATCATGTATTAAGAATGTGGTTTACAGTCAATAAATTTGATATTGTAAACAAGATGTACAAAACGTTAGCCCCTAATACTGTTGTAAATTTACAACAAAATAAGTCAAAACAATAGTTTTTTTATTTTATTATTTAGAAATAAAGTTACTTTCGTATTTATTTGGTTTAGTGTCATATTCTTGGCCCAGAATTCTTTCTAATAGGGTTTTTATTTCATTAATTATCCATCTTAAAACAAACATTAAAATGCATATAACATTTTGTACAGGGTGGAAACTGATGGATCCAAAGCTCCACCATTTATATATTAATTGTAATATAACCTAAGTAAAGAAAAAAAAAGAAAAGTGTACCAAGTTAAAGATTAAATTTTTGAGCCAAATTAATTATGCTCTTATTCTCTACATTTTTTTTTCTTTGCATTTCTTCAGCTGACTCCAGCAGCGAACTACTACAAACCCAAACTAAAAATCTTTATTTTCAGTGAAACAAGACTTGAGATAGGCCTCCAGTTCTGTTGCACTATGACTTGGCCTAAAGTAAAGAACACCATGGCAGAGAGACAAGATTTAATTTTAAACCAGTGCAGGGCCTATTAAAAGTTCTTTTGGAATAAATCTCAGATTTACTTAAAATCACTATAATAAACTTAAAAGAAAAATACATTTGTGCCATAGAATTAAGTCAGAAACATTAATTTTCTTTTTAGGGGAAATCACATTTGTCAATGATGCATAAAATTTAGAGATAAGTCGAATGATTGCAGCTTACCTTTTCATACTCAGTAAGTGAAGTAAACCGTTCTTTTTGAATGCGAGTTATATAGAGCACATCAGTATCTGGGATTATTTCAGATAGTGAAGAGAAAGTTCTCTGTAAAGAAATAAATAAAATAACAGTGTCAGTTGTATGATGAAAGTTTATTTGTGAAAAAGTAGAAAACTTATTAACTTGACCACTTGTTTCGTTATCATTAGAGAGACTTCAGATCAGAGTGAAAAGTCTGTATGCTTCAATATTAAATCATTACTTTTTCTGTTAAGGTGGCATCCCTTGGGATGAAAGAATATTGTGTGGCTTGTTCAAAAGCTGTTATTTTAATTTGTGCTGTTTTTTTTTTTTTTTTTTCTCTCCAATTTTTCTTGCTTTTCTGTGGTAAATTGAAGGCAAATCTTTATCCAATTTTTTTTTTTTTCAGAATGGATTGAAACGGGAAGATTCACATATTTTCCGATTAAATATAATGGTATAACTTTGTTTTCCATATCCTATTAATAAACATACACACATATAAGGAACCTCACCTGACTAAGTAGTACACCCATCATTGCAAAAAAAAAAAAAAAAGTTTAGATTTTAGGAATGAATTGGGTAGAGAACTTACATTGTTCTTTGTGGTCATGATGTTTTAATTGTGGATACAAGTATAGAGATTATAGCAATTTTGACACATTTCAAACTTTGAACAGAAATTAATAGAAAGAAATAAAACATTTGAGCAAAAATGTCACTGATTGCAATACCCACGTAGAAATGGATGGTGTGTAATTTTTTTTTTAATCTTGGTCTTTAGTGTTTTATGACTAAACGACTAAGTTGGTGAAGTGCTGTCTTCAAAGTGGCCATCCACTTGACCAAAAAAAAAGAAAATAGTTGAATGAAAATTTTGGGGAACAAGTGACAAACTGGATATTGAGGATTTTTGGACTGCCTGTTACAGTTGTCATCTACATGTAATGCCAAGATGGGTAGGGAGAACAGTTGGGGGGGGGGAGGAAAAGCTCATCTGTTAAGGATGTCAGAAATTGTTACCAAGTGTCACTTAGCCTGACTGTGCAAGAGAATCCATGAAATAACTGAAATATAGTCAAACGGCAGTGATATTCATTTTCACCTTTCATTTTCTCGTGAGCATGTAGCAGACCTTTCTCAGCTTTTGTTCACACTGACACAAAAATGCAACGTGGGGTTTCATTGTTAGGTTGGTGAAAAATTGAGGAAAGGCCTCATTGTAGGTTTACAAAAAAAAAAAAAAAAAAATACATCCTGATACACCCTACTGAAAACAGCTAATCTACATTTTTGGCTTGTACCCTTTCTAAGTTAGCAAGTTTCATTTTTCTTTGTCCTATATTTAAGAAAAAATTTTTTTAAGTTTTTTTTTTTTTTTACCTGAGAAATTCCTTTGGAGGTCACATATTCTTGAACATCATTTGGCATTTCCAAATTTGGGGGTGAAATGTAGCACAAATTGACACGATAGAGAGTGAGAATTCGAGCCAGTGAGTGGACAGTACGTCCATTTTTTAAATCACCAACCATTGTGATCTAGACAAGATGAGAAGCAAACAGAAAGAGAATTTTGATATTAAAAAGTCAGCAAATATCAAGACTATTAGTAGAAGGTTATAATTCTTTAAGTAATAAAAAAATAAAATGAATATACATGCACATTTAATATTTGAATGTTTTGTTTCAGTGTAAAATCTCAAAAATTAAGTACTTAAGGAAACTAAAATGACTCATCTGACCTTGAATTCAAAGTTACTTTTTATACAGAGTACTTACCGTGAGACCATTAACAGTACCAATCTCTTCTCTGATGGTGAAGACATCCAGCAAAGCCTGAGTGGGATGTTCCCCTGTGCCGTCTCCGGCATTAATCACAGGCTTGCGGCAATGTTGAGCTGCTCTCATCACAGCTCCTGGTTTAGGGTGTCTGAGGACAATGACATCAGAATAGCCAGACATTGTCTGGATAGTGTCCTCCAGTGTTTCACCCTTCTGTACTGATGAGGTGGCTTCGTTGAAGCTTATGACAGTACCCCCCAGACGCTGCATAGCTGCACTAAACGAGCAACTGGTGCGTGTGCTCACTTCATAGAACATGGAAGCCATCACTTTACCCTGTAAAAAGAAAAATAAATCCACATAAAAAAAAAAAATACACTCACCTTGCCAACTACATCTAAAAGTAATACTTATACAAGAAGGAAACTAATATTTAAGCAAAAAAACTGTATTGAAAATTTCTTTGACTCAAGGGTAATCAAAGTCAGCCCGGCAGAAGTGATTGCGAAATTTTAAATAGGGATCAAATGATAGAAAGAGTGTGCAAAACTCCATTCACATAATTGCTTCTCAAAAAAATAAAGATACTGAAAGGAAGAGAAGGAAGACCTTAAATAACAAAAGACTACAAAAATCAGTGCTCTGGAGCAGCCTCGCTTTGATAAACTAGAATCCGTCAACCACTCAGTTTCCACATCTGATGGCTGCCCCATAAGCACAGATAATTCCATTTATTTTTCCACAACTGTTTTAATGAATTAGCAAATTCTCTATTTTAATTTGACAAATAAGATAAAATAATTCAAAGCATAAAAATAGTATAACTAGAATAAATGAGACCTGGATTTTGTAAATGCATTGTATTTTTTATTTTAATTTTTTTTTTTAATCATTTCACTCCAAGCAAGGCTATAAAAGCCACCAAAATGCAAGAGGTTACTGAGTGTGAAAGAATCTGAGAAAAAAACATCAAGAGAGACAGGAAATGACGATTGCATTTAGACTTTTGAAGATCAATATCAAAGTTGATTGGAAAACAAAAAGCCAGAAGAGAGTGCCACATGTGAGAAGAAACTGTTAGCATAGAACTTAGATCTAGCCATTTCAACTGTAAAATGATAAGACCTAGCTACAAATTTGTGAAGTTCAGGTATCAAAGAATAAAGTTCATCAGAACAATTAACATGAAAGTATCGAAAAGGCACAGGGAATCTATGTTACAGCGGTGAGAAAGTGACCGAAGCTGAGATGTCAGATCATGACTGATAACATTCTAAACTCTTTGGATTTTGTCAAGGATCTCTTAATACATAACAGAAGCACCAGATTAGATGTGGCATCAATGGATGGCTGAAAGGTAAAGGTGTAAGAGATTCTGGTAAGAAAAATTGTCTAGCACAACACAGTGAACTAACTTTCCTAGCAGCAAATGATTTAATATAATCATCTCACTTCATGTCAGTGGAAAATGTTAGCTTGAGAAGGCACACCGAGACACTGTCCTAGAGGTTTGGTTTACGGCATATCCACCTCAATGGGTTATTTAATGCCGACAAAATTTTTATTGCTGGTAATTAGTTTAACTTCAAAAATCTATTTTTGGGAATATTTTTCCTTGAAGAAATCTATAGCGGTTTGTATTTCTGGTATTATTTTTAAAGTATTGCTGATAATAATTTTTCCTTCAAAAATTATTGCTAGTAATAATTTTTTTTTTTATTATAATGTATTTCTGGTATTAAAACCTATTTTTACACAAGTTTGGGTGTTAACTATTTGCCCAGAGCTGGGACCCTAACAGGTGCTATCAGCCAAGGTCAGGGTGGACCTGGGAACACCAGCAATTAAGAAGTGGTTCCATGCTTCTCAAAACCTCCTGATCAGAGGCCTTGCTGTTGTATATAGTTTATCATCTTACCTACGACGATGTCCTAGAAGTAAGAATCAGCTATGCTGATGGAAGGCAACAAAGATTCTCTAAGACAAAGAGAGAACTGTTTAGTTTGAGATTCATAGAACATAGAAGCCATCACTTTACCCTGTGAGAGAAGAAAATAAAAAATAAATAACTTACAAAATATTTTACTGACACAATAGGGTTTGCTTTCATTTACACAAATTTGTTTGGTTGGTTGGTTGCTTGTCGTTTCTCTGATGTCCCTCTTGCCTTCAATGTGTCTTGTGAGTATCAAATTCCCCAAGCCCTCTTTCCCCACTGTCCTAAAAATTTCAACTGTCTCTAAGTGTCCTTTCTGTTTCCATTTTGCTTCAAATTTCCTTGTAACTCACATGCCCTGTTCATGGTATTCTCAGCATCCTTTTGTAGAACCATATGTTGACTTAAGTCTTCATCTGTGAGGAAATTGGTTAGCATTCACTGCTGTATCGTTTATGTGCCATGCATAATACATGCTGAGGTGATCATGAATCTTTTGATACATGATTGACGAGGCAAACTTTTTCCTGCAGTAGGTTTCCATTTCTTCTTGCGGTAGACCAGTTGCCATCCAAGGCTATAGAACCCGCTCTGTCCTGCTATTTACCCATATCTGGGTGAGGTGAGGGTGGAGGATTCATACCTTTCTCAAGGGTATTAGCACATAAGGGAATGTAATAGATTCAAATGGAATTTGAACTCGGCTCTCCAATTCCTCAATCCAAATTGTATAAGTATTGATATTACATCGCACTCTTTTCTTTTTATCCTTTCTCACTTTCCATTTGCTGATGTCTGTGTTCCACTTTGAATTCCCCATCTCATCAACATTATTATTTTTGCTTTTAACTGTCAGCATACATCTCTTTGCAATTCGAGTCAGACAAGACTGGAATGTGGCTGCTCCCACAGTTGGCACTACTTGTGCCAAATGTAAAGGTATACAATGCTTTACCAATGTTAGTGCTAAGCATTCATCAGTCTCAGGTGACTATGAAGTCTACGAGGATGGTTAGCTAATCCCTGTTGCAGAAGCCTGCTCGGGCACATTTGTGTTTCTTCAAAACCCACAGAACCAACTTGTGGTTTATACAGCACTTATACTGAATAGACAATCTGAAACAATTAGTAATTGCATTTGAACCCTCTGTCATGGTAACGTTTTGAGTTTAATCTCCCCATTTTCACTCTCAAGGTTTGAGCCAACCTGTGGTAAAGCTTTCAGATACTTCCTAATGGTGTCACAAACTGAGATCATCTCAGGCTGACATATTCAAGGTCACCTCCTTGACAAATTGACCAGGGTGAGATTCAAACTTGAGCCTTATTGTCAGAATGCTAATATTTCTAATCAATAGGCCATGTACCCATACCTGTGTTAGTATGAATACTCTATAGAGTAAAGATTGTGTGTGTGTGTGTGTGTTCGTTTATATATCAAGAGAATTTTACACAATTGTTATTTACTATAAATAGTAACATAAAATACAAGAAAATGAACTTCTACACATTATTTTCAGTCTAATGGGAATGATGATATACAGTCACCCCCCCCCCAGGGCGTCATGTGGCACAAGACCAGTTTAACGTGGGATCTCCGAGCCCGTGGACTCAGCCAAAAATATGCCCATTGAACCTGTATAAATGGGTTCAGGGTCGGTTTACCTCTAGAAAAAAGAATCCATTGGCAAGACATAGCCCCTTTTTGTTCCTCCCAATTGAAGGCAGGGAGTTCAACTGATCAGTCGGTTGTCTGACATCGACTGACGAACTGCTGACTAATGGGAATGACTAAAAATATTCACCTCCTTAAATTTATAGACATATTCTACAGATGCATGCTGGGATTTCTTATGTAACCAATAAAAGTGGACTCCTCAGTCTCAGCCATATTTTTTGTTCTTTCTTGTCTTGAAGTCAGAGCGTTACAATCACTCGACTGTATCCCTTTTGCATATGAACACAATTCTTACTTTGGGAACTTTTTGCCTTATTACTGATGTTTTGCATACTGTTGCATATTATTTTGCCCTTTCTTTTTCTTCCTTTTCTTATTGTTTGAGAACTTGGCTCAACAAGCAGAAGTGACAATTTTCTAATTACTTAACCATGGCCAATTACTCCACAATACAAATAAACAGCAATTTTTTTTAGCTTATTCAAGATGGAAAAAAAAAAAAAAAAAAAAAAAAAAAATTACTAGATGACAGCAGATAAAAGGTACATATCTAAAGTTGGATTTCTAGAAATCTAAGTCTCCTATCATATTGGGAAATCTTAGTTACTTATTCCCAGAAGGATACAAGCCTGAAGCACCCAGCAAGGATAAAGCAGAGAAGACATGTAAAAAAAAAAAAAAAAAAAATTAGATAAGCATTGTTAATTAAGCAAAGTTGAGAAAATTATACTCTTAGAATATTGCCCGAGTCTCACCTACAATTCTAAAGTCAGGTGTGAAGTAACTGACCTTGAGAACGTGGTCCATTGCTCTATCTCTTTGAACTGATACACGATAATTGTGGGCCTGGTTGAACAATTGGTGCAACTGGAAAAGAAAAGCAAGTACAAGATGAGAATAGCAGCAAAATTTATGTAAAGCTACAAATGACATTTATTTCATATAATCTTTAATATTGTCAGTTGGAAAATGATCTAAGAAAACACACAAGCCATAATATTTTACCTTTGACAGAAAACTATTTATTTATTGAATATTTTTGTTTTCATAAGAAATAATTATCGAGCCGTATTAAAGAGGAAGTTATTTCAGTAATAAAAATCAATTCTGGCCTAAAATTTGATCCCAAGTGAAAATATACAGAACTGCATGAAAACATCAGTCCTGAAATAAAAGCACCAGCAACCTGGATTCTCCAATAATTAGATGTACAGTGGTGCAACGAATAGCAGCTTGGAATGATAAATTGGAGAGTCGAGTTCATTACATACGCTTGTGTGTAAATTCCCTTGGGAAAGGTATGCATTATTCTCCTCCCCCACTTATGGGTTAAACCATTGTTAGTCTTAAAAAAAAAAAAAAAAAAATGTTTCAGCAATCTCCAAACATCAGTCTTCATAATATCAAAGCATTTTAATTTTATGGTTTTATATATTTTAATACTTAAATGTCATTTTTTAATGGATATTCATATTTGAGTAGACATCCCGTTTATTTATTAAAACAGTATATTTATTTCCTTCTAACAGCTTGAATATTCTAGAAGTCTTATTTGAGAAAAATATGTAGTCTCCAGCAGGATTCAAATCTGCGTTCCCCTAGGAAAAACAATCATTAGATCTGAAGTACTTTGACCTACATACAGAATTCGTTGAAAAACCAAGCAATGTTGAATAGTGACTTTAAACAGATTTTTCTCCTACTCTTGAAATAGGATATGAAAATGAGCAGATATATTTAACAAAGTAATTTGTAAAGAAATTTTCCGTACTTATATATGATTTTTAGTGGATACTAGTATTTAAGTAGAAGCCCCATTTATTTATTAAATTTTATTTTTATTTACCAGTGTGAATATTAGAGAAATCTTATGTGATTTTCCAGACATACCTTAGATGTGGCACAAGAAAGGGTCACCTAGTGAAGATCAAACTCACTACTTAGTTGTAATTGTTCTACCAAGACAAGATTACTAACCATTACACCACCTTGTGGTGTCCAATAAAATTATAACATAAATCTTACTTATTATAAAACACAGATTGTGTGTGTGTGTGTGTGTGTGTGTGTGTGTGTGTGTGTAACGTTTATATACTGGATTGGATTTCCTACATTTTTCAACAGATTTCAACAAAACTTCACAGGACTACATAAAATTACCTTGTGGTGGTTTCTAGTGCCAAAAATGGGAAAAATACAATTGTTTTTGCACAAAATCAATTTGAAAACACGATTAAGAGACATTGTGAGAATGGAAGGGGGACAACTCACATCGGGTTGCTTGTGTGTGTGGGTTCCTTTAAATATGGGATCGGATTTCCTACATATTTCATCCGATAAAACAAAAATTTTTTTTTTTTTTTTTTTGGCAGGTAGTGTTTCTTATTCTCTTGCACACTTTTTTTTTTTATTTTTAATATTCAGAATGCTTTTAAAATTCCATTTACAAGACAATTGTTTATAATAAAATTCTATTCAATCAGGAGACTCATAACGATTGAAAACAATATGTTTTTGTTTGAGTTTGGGTTTGACAAATTAAAAAAAAAAAAAAAAAAAAAAAAAAAAAATTAAAACTAATTAATGCGTGTCCGTCAACCTTAAACAATAATCTAACGCTCTCTACTGATTGTACGAATCCAAATATCAGATAATTCTTTATCTTTAGGGAAAGATAATGAAATCTAAACATACACAAGTTCTAACTAAAAATAATAACCGGAAACTACTTTAGTTTAAATACACATGGTGTCCAATAATTTTTATTGTATTCAATAAGTAAAAATCATAAATTGTAAGAGATTATTATTACAGAAAGGCTACTAAATGAATAAGATTTGTTAGATCATAATTAATAAACCCAAATAAAGTTAATATTTTTTGTATTAGAAACAATGAGTGGAAAATATATTCAAATCAAATTCTAATTATGAAGAAAATATAATTTTTTATGAAAAAATTTTTTTTTTGAAAAAAGCAAAAAAATTATGCAATTTTTTTACTGTATTCAATAAGTAAAAATCATAAATTGTAAACCTAAAAGATTACAGAAAAGCTACCTACATTTTTCAACCGATTTCAACAAAACTTCACTTTTTTTTTTTTGGCATGTAGTGTTTCTTATTGTCTTGCACACTTTTTTTTCTTTATTTTTACATTCAGAATGCTTTAAAAATTCCATTTACAAGACAATTGTTTATAATAAAATTCTATTCAATCGGTAGAGACTCATAACGATTGAAAACAATGTTTTTGTTTGAGTTTGGGTTTGACCAATTAAAAAAAAAAAAAAAAAAAAAAAAACTAATTAAGACATGCGTGTCCGTCAACCTTAAGCAATAATCTTTGTCAATTTTATTTTTCAGTCTTTATGATGGTGGATACTTGATCTATCTTACTCTTATATCCCTGGGCAATGCCGGGCTCTACTGCTAGTATGTTATAAAATCACTAAAACAATAGCCATTTTGTTACAACACTTCTGGTGTCTTGTCAAGTGATGGTGTTGAATATTTCATAATATAAATAATTATATTTGCTCTACTCTGTATTGAGCACTCTTAAGAATAGTATTTGTTGGTTATTGGAATTTATTCCGTATACACCAATCCTATACTTGGGGATATATATATATATATATATATTAGTTGGATTGATGTGAGTTGTGACACTGGGTTTTTATATATACCCCCTATAGTGTAAGAAAAACAGTGATGACTGTTAGAGCTATTTCATATATTAAAAAATATACATAACACCCTATGTTCATTGCAATTGCATGAAACCGAGTTGTGCTATCAATGTAGAGTATTATATATATGAAGAAATATAGTTTTAAGATGTTTTATATTTATGGGATAAAGTGCTCAATATGAGAGATAGAGCAAAATGTTAATATAAAAAAAAAATAGATTTCAAAAGGGAAAAACAGATGTTTTAGGCCTGAACATTGCATCTATATGAAACAGACAATGGAAAATGTTGATTTTTTATGTTCACTTATATATCTTTTAAAACTGGCTTACAATTGAATTTGAGTTAGAGGAGAAACTGAATTGTGAAAGATTTACAATCAAAGTCCCCTAAAGTCTTGTTAGACTAGGGAAAACCTGTTTCAAAATTTACCTGCTCCTTATTGAAAGAAGAAACGTTGAGTACATGCTGGCCAACAAGCCCTGTATGTCCAGCTGCAGCATGAGATATTCCAAGTAGAGGTGAGGTTGATGCTGGGAACATGTGCGGTACTGGCTGAACTACTGGTTCCTTCTTTGGCCCTAGTTCCACACTGGTAGTCATTCCAACACCAACAGGGTGTTCCCTTGTTACTGGTTCTAGTGGCAGAATCAAGGGTACATATTTGAAAAATTGTTAGAATTAAAAAAAAAAATTTAGCATTTCAATTTATTTTTAATATCTTTAAAAAAAAAAAAAAAAAAAAAAAAATCACATATGTGTGTGTCCTGCACACAGATAAAAGTAAAGTGGGGGGGGGGATTTAAAACCATAAGCAACATTTAACTACACTGACCAAACTACAGTCAATAATACTTACAAGTTCAATTTCAGAAAGAAAGAAAAGACATTCATTTTAACAAATAGTATAACATTTAAAAAGACTTCAGTCATAGTATTTGATGGTATTAGATAGACAATGTGCATGCAAAGACATGTGAGGTGCAGGATTAGGAAAATACCCAAAGGCTGGTAAGCAGTCATGGGAGGGACTGTTGACCAGTTGTAACCAAGAATGCATGCACTACAAAGCTTAGACTATTCAACAGGTAAACAAAAGACAACAACAACAAAAAACATTGGAATAAACAATGCTAGAGCTGAAATTGGATTTTGATTAGAGAATCTTTTGATTAAGATTTATAATAATTGTTAAGAGACAATTTAGAAAATATACAGGTAAAACAAATTAAAATAGTATTAATAATCTTGTAGGTCATTTGATACCAATAGCATCCTTAAAAAAAAAAAAAAAAAAAAAAAATTAAACATGAAAATAAAAGACTTTACTTTTTTTAATATCTGGGGTGCTGGAAAAATATTTTTCCAATGGAATCTTAAACACAAAAAAGCATTAGTAAAATAAATAGTGTTCAATAGAAACATTTTTGTTAGATTAGTATCACAGCTTCAGTGTTTATTATAATTTAATAACATTTAATACAGACAAACCAAGAAGTAATATTAATGTTATTTCTGTTGTTTAGTGTCAACTCTTAACTGAAGTTGTACAGAATTCTACATTTTATAATGTTGGAAAATCTACTGTGGTCAGAAGACCCTGTGGGTATGGAATTCTGACAGAGAGATTGCTTTTCTCTAAGTTTGGGATATAAGGTGGCTAAAATGGTATGAAGATAATGGATGGCTGCAGAACTTTTGAAGAGTTAATGTTTCCCACACGTAAATTCCTGAGAGTGTTTAGCAAGCACATGGCAAAATTTTAATGTAAAAATTTGGTGTGTGTTCCCTTAACCATCTTCCTCCTAGAATCAATGCTAAAAAATAAATTACCCTTCATTGATAGTCTATGATGTGGTGTTGGTGTCAGAAGGACTAGTGGCAACAGAATTCATCATTAGGATTATATGACTTAAGTAAGCATTAGGTTTTTTTTTTTATTGATCCATACTGCAATAAAATCTAATAAAATAAAAATGAAAGACTAGTTAAAAAAACAAACAACATTTTGTCTAAGAAGTTCAGTAACATACATACACACACACGCACATATATAAAATTTCACCCCAAGCAAGGCAATATGCAAAGGGGTTACTGAGAGAGAGAAAAAAAATAAATTAACAAGGATTAAGACAGAAGATAATGATTGATCTTCAAAAATTTTTAATATAATGTCAAAGTTGACTGGGAAGCAAGATGCTGGAAGAGAGTTCCACAAGCGAGAAGTGCGATAGAAGAAACTATTAGCATAGAACTTTGGTTGCATCTAGTCATTTCACTAGTAAAATGATAACACCTTGCTGCCAATCTAGTTCTGTGCCTAACTTCTTAAAATCAGGTACCATAAATTCAGTGCACTTTAATGCAGACAGTTTATTAGCTAATCTAACATCTCTACAGAGTAACAACTGATCGTTACTGGGTACTCGGTACTAGTATTAATTCTAAACATAGTAAATAACTACACATGTGTTTAGAGTGCACCAGTTATTAAGTAGAAAGGAAAAATATTAACACTTTGTAAGTTGGAAAAGCCTGCTTATATTTTGAGGTGGAAGTTCTCAAATATGAAAAAATATTTAGCAAGATTTTATTAACATATTAGAAAAGAATCAATCATCTTAGAATAAAATACTTTAATATAAACTAAATATGTATTGCACCTTGATAAATTTAAAGTATTTATCCTTAAAATAATGTGAAAATCTTTTCACCTATAAAATCAACCTACCTATTGAATTAGTACATCACTTGTAACTAAATCTGCAATAACTAATTCATAGTCATACAATCAAAGTGCTGCACTATTTGACCAACTAACATGATCAGTTCTGTATTTTGTAATATGAAATGGAAAGGCAGACAGATTTTTTTTTATGCATTCCTAGTTTAGTCAATTTTCCCACTGAATAAACATTAATAAATTATCACTGAAAGTTTTTTTTATGAGACTATCAAGTATAACATCTCAAAATGTATGCTTAAGATTAAAATAAATTGGAAGCTTATGGCCATATGTTGCAAGACCAGTTCCAGCATGATCAAATTAACCTTTATCAATTCATTAGCTATACAAAATGTTTGTCCTGCTACTGAAGGTAACTGATCCCTGAACAATAGTGTATTTGAATTTCATAGTTGTGTTGTCATATCCTGTTATGGCAACAAAAAAACAATTGAGTGAAATTAACAAGGATACTGCAATTGAGTCCTTGAAGAAGAATGCAATGGAAAGGAAAGTAATATTAATAATGTAGTAAAGGTTAAGCAATGCTGAGCCTGATCAGTAACTAGATGGGTGACCACTTGGGAATAAATCTTGGATGTGTGGGTGATATAATGAATAATGGCTCAGAATTGGAAAGCCGAATTCTGAATTGGGTTTGTTATATTCATTTATGTGCAAGAGTATAAATACACCTTCCTAAGCTATGGGTTAATTAGTAGGATTTATATCAGTAAATCATTATCACCAAAATAAATTCTTAAAAT